AAACCTGCAGACATTAATGAATATAGTACTGCAGAACAAATTGCCCTTTCTGAATCTTGGAAAAGGTCCGATAGACTCAATTTGATGTTCATGAAGATGACCATTGCAAATAACATCAAGACCTCATTACCTCAAATTGTTAATGCATTGGAATACTTAAAGACTGTTGAAGATCGATTTGGATCTGCTGACAAGTCACTTGCTGGCACTATTATGGTTGAATTGATAACAATGAAATATGATGGCAACCGAGGGGTTCAGGATCACATCCTCAACATGGCTGACAAAGATGCAAAGCTTAAAATGTTAGGGATGCAAGTTGATGAAACTTTCCTCGTGCAGTTTATTCTCAACTCACTTCCATCATAGTTCAAGGCATTGAAAATTCACTATAACGAATAAAGATAAGTGGAATTTGAATGAGCTGACTAATATGTGTGTCCAAGAGGAAGTGAGGTTGAGGCAGGAAGGACGTCAAACTGCATTGGCTGTAACTCATGGAGCTCCAACGAAAAAGAATGGTAAGTTTGTAAAATCAAAGAAAAATCCACCAAGAAAAAAAATGAACCTGGGGGAGAAAATTAGGCTCAAAATGGTTTCACTGTCAAGTGCTACTTTTGTGGCAAGAAGGAACATGTAAAGAAAGACTGCAGCAAATGAAAGGCTTGGTTCAAAAAGAAAGGTAAGAAATTTTCTTTTGTTTGCTATGAATCAAATCTTGTTGAAGTACCTTCTAATACTTGGTGGATTGACTCTAGGGCTATGACCCATATTACAAATGACATGCAGGGATACCTCTTAACTAAGAAACTGAAAGAAAGTGAAAGATTTGTCTATATGGGGAACCGTCTCAAAGCTGAAGTCGTAGCTGTAGGAACCTACCGACTGATCTTAGAGACGGGTCATCAGATGGATCTAGAAGACACTTTTTATGTTCCTTCAATTTCTAGGAATTTAGTTTCGTTATCCAAATTAGATCGTGTTGGATATTCAGTTTTATTTAGTTGTGGAATACTCAATTTAATGTTTAATTCAATAATGATTGGTTCTGGTAATTTATGTGATGATTTATATAAAATTACCTTAAATAATGAGTGTGCACAATCATTAGTAACTCTGCATTCGAATATTGGTTTAAAACGTGGTGTAATTAATGAAAAATCTTCAATCTTGTGGCATAGACGGTTGGGGCATATCTTTACAAATAGAATTGAAAAATTGGTGAAGAATGGGATTTTGGAAAACCTATACTTCACTGATTTTGAGAAATGTGTGGATTGCATTAACCAAACACACCAACAAAGGTGCCACAAGAAGTAATGAGCTTCTTAAGATAAATCATATAGATATTTGTGGGCCACACAACATCCCATGTCTTAGTGGTGAAAAATATTTTATCATATTTATAGATGACTTCACACGTTATGGATATGTGTATCTAATTCATGAAAAGTCTCAGACTGTTGACATCCTTAAGGTGTACATAACTGAAGTCGAGAAACAATTAGATAGAAAGGTTAAAATCATGAGATCAGACAGGGGTGGTGAATATTATGGTAAATGTGATAAGTCAGGCTAAAATCTTGGCCCATTTACCAAATTCTTAGAAAAGAAAGGCATTTGTGCTCAATATACAATGCCTGGAACACCATAGCAAAATGAGGTTGCTGAAAGGCGTAATCGTACACTAAATGATATGGTTAGGAATATGTTAAGTTACTCAATTGTACCCATTTCACTGGGGGTGAAGCTTTAAAGACTGCAATGTATATCTTAAATGGGGTTCCTAGTAAGGCGGTCCTAACAACTCCTTTTGAGTTGTGGACTGGTAGGAAACCTAGTTTGAGACACTTACATATTTCTGGTTGTCCAGCAGAGGCAAGAATCTTCAACCCACAAGAGAAAAAGTTGGACTTGAGGACAATATCTAGATATTTCATTGGTTATCCAGACAAGTCTACAGGGTACAAATTTTATTGTCAATCACAGTACGAGGATAGTAGAGAATGGTAATGCTAGATTCCTAGAGAATGGTGAAATTATTGGAAGTGAAAAAATACGAATGGTGAATTTCAAGGAAATTAGGGTGGATATGCTAACATTTGGCCCTTATCGAAAAATTGTTGTTCCTCAGACTATTCCACAAACTGAGGGAAACGAACAACATGATGAAAATCGTTCACCACCTCATGTTTCACCACTTCATGAAGATACCACCATTGAAAATATTGTAGAACCACCACATCCGGCAGTTTTGAGAAGATCTCAGATGGAAAGAAAGCCTGCCATTCTAGATGATTACATGGTGTATTTACAAGAATCAGATTTTGATATTGGGATTAACAAAGATCTCGTCTCATTTTAACAAACCATGAATAGTGATGATTCTACTAAATGGGTCAATGCTATAAATGAAGAGTTAAAATCCATGGAACATAATAGTGTTTGGAATGTCATCGAATTGCCAAATAATTGTAAAATGGTCGGGTGTAAATGGGTCTTCAAGACCAAGCATGACGCAAAAGGCAATATCGAATGATTTAAAGCCAAACTTGTTGCCAAGGGTTTTACTCAAAAAGAAGGTATAGACTATACAAAGACCTTCTCTCCAGTATCTAAGAAGGACTCGCTTAGAATCATCCTAGCATTGGTAGCTCATTATGACTTAGAGTTGCATCAAATAGATATGAAAACTATTTTTCTAAATGGGAATTTGGATGAAGAAATTTATATGGAGCAGCCAAAAGGATTTGCAAAGAAAGGTAAAGAACATTTAGCTTGCAAATTAAAGAAATCCATATATGGCCTTAAACAAGCTTCCAGACAATGGTATTTAAGGTTTAATGATACCATTACCTCCTTCGGATTTAAGGAAAATGTAGTTGATCAGTGCATATATCTGAAGGTTAGTGGGAGTAAGTTCATTATTTTGGTGCTATATGTGGATGACATTTTGTTAGCTAGTAATGACCTTGGCTTATTGCATGAAACCAAGGAATATCTCTCCAAGAAATTTAAAATGGTCGATATGGGTTAGGCAAACTATGTTATTGGTGTGGAGATCTTTAGGGATCGATCTCGAGGATTGCTAGGACTATCTCAGATAGGATATATTGATCATGTTTTGAAGAGATTCAATATACAGTTTTGTTCAGTCGGTGATGCACCAATCATGAAGGGTGATAAATTAAGTGAAAAATAGTGTTTAAGAAATGACTAGGAAAGAAAAAAAAAATGAAGGACTTTCCATATGCATCAGCTATAGGGAGCTTGATGTATGCCCATACATGTACCAGGCCAAATATTAGTTTTGCAGTTGGAATGTTGGGAAGATTCCAAAGTAATCCTGGAATGGAACATTGGAAAGTAGTGAAGAAAGTTATGAGATATCTTTAGGGAAAAGAGGACTATATGCTCATGTATAGGAGATCAAAACAGTTGGAATTGATTCGATACTCAAACTCAGATTTTGCTGGTTGTCTTGATAGTAGAAAATCTACATCAGGTTTTGTTTTTCTACTGGCTAGTGGAGCAATTTCATGTAAAAGTATGAAGCAGTCCACTATTGCTTCATCTACTATGGAGGCTGAGTTTGTGGCATGCTTTGAGGTTGCGAAATTTCATTTCAGGACTTGGTATTGTTGACTCAATTGCCAGGCCGCTGAAGATATATTATGACAATGCCGTAGTAGTTTTCTTTTCTAAGAATGGAAAGTACTCTAGTGGTTCCAAACACATGGAAGTAGGCCTGTCAACGGATCGGGTATAACCCGAATCCGATCCGAATCTGATCCGATTAATCCGGTCCATTTATGCAAATCCGAATCTGAATATCTGTTTAACCCGTATCTGTGTAGCCCGATTTTAAACGGGTCGGACTCGGATAAATCCGATCCAATCCGTTTGTTTGCCTAATCCGATTCCATTGAAATCAGATCTCTCATAAACAGATCTCTCTCATCGTCTGAAAAGTGCGTTCTGTTGTTGAAGTTCATCGTCTGAAGATCAAATCTCTCTCTCATCGTCTGAAAATGCTCCGATTGATGACGATGAACCTAGCCAAATCGAGCTCTCTGCTCCGATTGGATTCATAACGCTCAATTTCAAAGAACGAAGTCCAAATCTTGTCAGATCGGAGCTACGAACTGTAAGAGATCATCTCTCTGCTCCTTTTTATTTTTTATTTTTTTTGTTGGGTCTCTGTCCCGTATCAGATCTGTTTTTGTTGCCGATCTGATTCTTACCTGTATCAGATCTGATTCTTGGTTTAAAGTTGTATGTATCAGATCTGATCCTATTGCTCTGTCAATGAGAGTTGGGTTTTGTTAATGAGAGTTGGGTTTTGTTACAATATTGAACAAGATCAAAGGAGACCGTGAATTTATTGTTTCTTTTTACTGATTTGAGAGTTGGGTTTTGTTAATGAGAGTTGGGTTTTGTTAATGTGGAAGTTTTTTTTTAATTTTTTTTATTTTATAGTTTTTGATAACCATGGGCATTTTTTTTTTAATTTTAATTTTAATTTTTAAATTTGGGGCGTGTGAAAAGAATTTAGTTTGTAGAGGGTTTTGAATCTGGAAAGAAAGAACTTTGAAGGTCAAGTTTGAAAAAAGAGCAAATGAATATTTTTGATTGGAGGGTTTTTCAAATCTTACTATTTTTTTTTTTTTTTTGTTAAGTAGATGTGTAGAATACTTATGTGGGTTTTCATCAGTATGATATAAAGATTCATACAAGTAGTTTTTTTTTTTTTCCCTAGATTTGCTTATACAAGTACTTATGTGGGTTTTCCCTAGATTTGCTTATACTTTTCTTTTTTGACAGTAAAGTTTGACACAAATCACTTATCACTCTTACTTGATCACTATGTATAATTTTCTGTTCTTGAATCATAGATTATTTGGATTGGCAAGTTCTTTCTCTATACGGGTCTTTATTTTTTTTCAATTAAATTAATATTCTATTTTATATTTATTATTCAGGAGTGACTAGATGTGAAAATGGACTCTTTTGAGGCTTCTAATATTGTGTTTAGTAGAATCCGGAAGTTTGAACCAGAGAATGTTACAAAGAAGATAATAGGGTATCTTCTTTTACAAGACCGCGGTCATGAAATGATTCGTTTGGCTTTTGGACCGGACACTTTAATCCACAATTTGATATACAAAACCAAAATTCAACTTGGTTTAGAGTCGAAACCAGTTGTTTCGCCTCCGATTTCACCTTCGATGAACTTGGCTAAACCAGTTGTTTCACCTCCAATTTCACCTTCTATGAACCCGGGTTTTAATCCCTTCTCACCAGTTTCATCCCCTGTAACATTGAAGGTTCCGTATCCCTCCTGGGACCCCCAAGTCAACCCCGATCACCAACCAATGCATAACCCCCATTTCATACTCCAAAATCAGACTCAATTCATGGGTTTGGATTATCAATTAGAGCCAGTTAATCCAGGAATTTCAGCTTTTTCGAGTGATTATTATTACCCGGAAGCTACGTGTGCGAGAAGCCCATGGTCTCCAACCCTATCCGAGTTCCCAACGAAAGCTTGTCACTATTTTAATAAGGGGTTTTGTAAGCATGGAAGTAACTGTAGGTACTTTCATGGACAACCTTTCCCAGAGAGCCTCACTCAGATGTTTAGTCCTAGTACAAATGATGTTGTTAATGAAGATCTGATTTTTTCACCTAGGTCACTTGAAAAGTTAGAATTCGAAATTATGTAAATGTATTACAAACAACTGCTTTCCTTTTTCTCTATTTGACTCTTTGTTTTTGGGTTGTTGTGTAAATTTAGTTACTTTTTAATTGTGTGACTATTTTTATGAACCGATGATATGTAAATCAGGATTTATTCAGGAGGGCCATACTGGAGTCAGGGCCACCAGAAAATTTTGCTCTCAAGACAGTCCAAGAAATTATTAAACCTCAGGTAGTTGCTGAACACCCCCACTTCTTCCTCATTGTTGCTCATTGCAACATAAATTAGCTCCTGCCCTTTATATTGCTAAATACAGTGATGGCTATGCTTTTGTATATTATAATTAGAATTAGAATGTCTTAATTTGAGGATAAACTGTGAAACCTTTATATATATATAAGAAGATCTTTGTTTGTCTTTTGAAAATTCCAAAAGTTGTGTATTTAGTTATAACTTACGACACATTCTCTTACTCCTATTTCCCAACATTTTATATGTGGGTGAATGATTTGGGGATGGTTATCCTTGTTGTCTATACTGAATTACAATCTCTTTGTTTCCTTGAAAGATTGAATAGTACGTGAAAGAGTTTACCCAATTTGCTATGGCAATAAGCCTGTTTACTCTCTTTTCTTGGTGGTAACCTGTGTTTACTCTGGATTAAGAACCATAGTTTACTTCTTCATAATGACCACCCAAAAAAAGAAAAACAAGAAAAAAACAGAGAAGTAAATAAAGGGGGACTTACGTGTATGTCCTACTAGGTGGACTTATTGTCCAATATGTCCTATAATTAATGCCATTTTTCATTAAACACTATAAAAAACGTCACTATTTGTTAATTTTCGGCGACAATATAAAAATTGTCACAAAAAATGTCACTAACTATAAGTTTTAGTGACAGTTTAAAAAAACATCACAAAAAAATCACTAAGTCACAAATCTATATAATTTCCAAATTGGTGCACACTATTTTTAAATGAACCCCTGCTCCTTTATGTTTGATTTCTTGTGTAGTGCATATTTGAGTTTTAGAGCCAAAGATGTCTTCGGATTATAGCGAACCTATTACTGCTGATGATGCCGAGTTGGATGACGATGTATCTCAAGGACCCACAAAGAGGATTCGAAAACTAACTTCAAAGGTATGGGATGACTTTGTCAAATTTAAAGGACCTAATGGAAATGACATAGCTAGATGTAAGCATTGCAATAGGAAATTTGTTGGAGAGAGTAGGAAAGGGACTAGTCATTTAAAAAATCATTTGTCGAAGACATGTCCAGTACTTAAAGGGCCAAATGCCCCTAGGATTGCTAGTAAGGCTGCTTCTGAATCTACTCCTAAGGCTGCAAATTTTAAATTCGATCAAGATTGGCATGTTCGAAAAGGGCACCAGCAGCTATAGAAGCCATATGAGTGCCATGACCAGTTCCATCTTGTGGTGACTGGTAATCTCTACCAAAATGGTTAATGACCTTATCAGATTTGAGATTTTCAGAACCACAGTGAAGTATCTAGCACCAACCAATTTTCTGTTGTACAAGCTTGAGTTGAACTCATCTCCATTTTCAAAAGAGCACTTTCAACTAAGAGCAACTCTAACGACACTCTACTTTTCACTAGCTAAAGTACAAAAAAAGTACACTCTTTATTTTACCTAATTACTTTAGCTATTGTGTTATCCAACCACGCTCTTTATTTTAGCTAATCATTTAAACTAAATTAATTTTTAAAATAAAAAAATACTAATTGGTGATATTTTACTAATATAAATTTGCAATAATAATAAATTTTCCCATACAAACATACAAAACATGTAGAATGAGGAGAAAAAAAAAATACAAAATACAAAATAAGTTATTCCGTAATTCATTAAACAGAATTGAAAGAACATATAAAATTGCTACATACACAAACATATATATAAAATATATAAAATCCCAAATCCAAGACATAAATATACAAAAAATCTAAAATATATACATACATAATTGTTTGGAGAGCCTCTGGGGCTATTCAATTGTAGCCATAAAAAAAATAGGATGGTAAAGTAGCTAGCCCAATAGCTAACCCATTGGAGCTCAAAATTAGACTTACATTGGTTAAAATACCTAACAAGCCTTGTTTAACTATCCCCTTGGAGATGCTCTAACAGGTACTAACCCAAGTCCTACATCATTGACTTCTAACCATATGCCAAAGTCCACTAAACCAATGACCACATTTTCAGCAAAGATGGACTTTGAACTTATGCCAAAATTTATTTTGAGACTCAAAAATTCTGGTGATCGAGTCGTATGAGGGCACATAATTGCTTCGTCTTTCATCACATATAGGACTCCAGTAGTGCGAGTAATATAATCAATTTCTTCCTCCGTCAACCGTGCAGTGAAACCTCTCAATACCTTGTAGGTATAAAATATTCTCTTATTCAACCTTTTTGCTTCGTTAGAAAGTTAGAGAGATTGTTGAATTTTTGTTGACAAAAATTGAATAACTGGACATGTTAGTTCCAGTAGCATAATTTAAGAACAATACGAAAATAATAGGAAGGATGACACGCACGAAGCAATTGCATGCAAGAGTAAGCAGTTAGTTTTCGTTTCGCTTTGCAAAAGGAAAAAAATGAAACATGCTAGACTATTATATAGCAGGAGAAAATAATTGGTACACCACATCAACTTGATGAGTTGGAGGAACAAATGTATTAAATAATTAAATTCTTGTCTCTTGCATCAGCAATAACCTTTGCTCTCTTATCTCCATCAGTTTTTTTTTTTTTTTTTTTTCATATATTGTTTTTCTCTAATTTCAAATATGAGATTTTCATAGAAAACCCACTCACCTACTACGTTCTTTCCCTCTCTTAAATTTTTAATTTTCAATCTTCTGCTAATTGAAGGGTTTTGTTAATTTGGTTTCAACGTCTCATATAGGGAGGAAAAAAAAAGATTATAAAAAAGTTTTTCTGAATTCATGGTGTTGCCAGAGAAGGAGGAGAAGAAAAAAAAGTAATTCGTTAGCATCCATGGTGTCTCTGGAGAGGAACGGGACTAAAAAATTCGCCAACAATTTATTGCGTGCAATTATAGTTGTAAATAATTTTTTTTAAAAAACTTTTTTCCCAATGGCAAAAGCATATACGACTCAAATAAAATTTTGTTTTAGTGAGATTAATTTTAAGTGATAACAATTTACCAACGCAAAAGGCACTAGCGATGGCAATAAAAATGTTGCTAAATTTTTTTAAAATAGCTTTTACTATTATTTCGGTGGCAACTTGCTGTCTGGAAAAAAAATTACCGACAATCCATTGTGTGTTGGAGAAGGAGATTAAAATAATAGTTTGCCGGAATTCGTAAGTCTTGCTGGAGAATAAGAAAGAAAAGAGATTAAAAAAAAAAAAGTAATTGGAATCCATGGTGTTGCAAAAGAAAGAGAAAGCAAAAACTAGGGCTATTCACCATTTTTGCTGCGATCTCAACGTCACCTTCACTCAAACCATTTCGTCGTTTCTACCACCAAAAGCGTGAGATGAGAGAGAGGAGAGGGAAAGGATCTTTGATTGAAGTGATGAGACAGTGGATAACTATAAATGAGAGAGAAGACAAAGAGGCTCTCTGATTTTGAAAAATAAAGTGAAAAGAGAAGAGCTAAAGAGAGAAAATAAGTTATCCACGAGACTCTTTGGAAGATGTGATGGGGCTCTTTGAATGATGTGATATGATAAAGAGAAGCACTGTGATCAAGGGTTTCTTATCAATAGGACTGTAAACTGTCCGAGTCAAGTTGAATTTGAGCCCCGCTCAATAAGTTGGGTTTGAATTTCGCTTAGTTCATTAATATTAATGAAACTTGCATTCAACTCAACTCGATTCGATAAGATTTTTTCAAATATTATTTAAATAAAATATTATTTATATATAAATAATAATATATTTATTATATAATTTAAATAAAGATAAACGAGTTGAGTTTATTCGAGTTCAGTTCTTTTTCTAAACGAGCTGAGCTGAGCCCTTAATGAGCCGAACCGAGTATTCATTTACAGCCCTATTGATGCAATTTGAATATGACCCGACGAGGACCAGGCCCCTTGATCCCGATTAGAGCGATTTTTTCCCAAAAAATATCCCCGACGGGTTGGGGATGGTATTTGAAAATCAATCCTCGACATTTTTCGGGCTGGGGACGGTGATACGTTCCCCTTCCCTGTCCCTGTTTCCCCCCTGAAGTAAAATTACTATCATCCCCCCTCTCTCTCTATATGTGTGTGTGTCTATCTTTTTGACTCATTTTAGGGTTAGGTTCACACTCAAATAGACACATCACCTCTCTCTGCTATGCTCACACGGCTGCTGCTCCCTCACCGCTCGCTCGCTTGCTCCTCCCTCACTGTCGTCGCTCCTCTCTCACCGCTGTCTCCCTTCTCCCTCACCGGTGTCTTCCTTCTCCCTCACCAGCTCTCCCTCTCTCAAATCGCTATACGAAGATGAACCAAAGTTCATTCTGATTTTCACCCCCCAATCGACTCTCTTTGGTATGATTTGCCTCTCTCCTCTATCAACTCTTCGATTTGCCTCTCCTTCTCACCATTTTCAGCTCACTGATTTCTGCTATTCCCTAAATCTTTCATTTCTGTTTGGTGAAACCCTAGCTCTTGATTTTATTTATTTTTTAAATGGAATGGATTTTATATGGTTTGATCGATTTTGACTCTTATCTGAATGTTTGAATTCTGCTTTGCTTTAAGGTTATGAGCTTAATCACAATCTTATACTTATATATGTTTTTGGAACAAATTATTCCTCGGGTCATTTTGGCAGTTATATACATGTTCTCTGCCTCTATCTGTGTGATTTATTATATATATATATATATATGTGCATATGTAGAGGTATAGAGATACATGTGGCAACTGTGTGAGTAACTACTTATAATTTTTGTTTTAACTTTGGACGTGGTTGGTGATTAGAAAGGATGTAGTTGTGTTGTTCAATGAATGGCAAATCTGTGAAGTGTATGTACTGTATTTGGTGGGAGAACACCTTACTACAAAAGGCTTTGGTTATTCATTAGAGTGCACCAGGCCACCCAAACACTGCTATGTAATTGTTAAATGATCTAATTTATTTGTTCAACTAACAGTCACCCGTGGGCAGTCCCAAATGCCATTACTACTGTGACACTGGCTTCTCATTTTGGTTTCCAACTTTTTAACCAATAGTATGATAATTATGGTCTTGTTTTTGAGGAAGTCTTTGAGGACATCTTGTTTACCTCTTCACTACTTATTGTATACATCATGCAAAGAAGATGCCTTGTTTTTGGCCTTAGTCCAAAAGTGAGTGATTAGTTCTATTTTTTGTCTTATCTATATTCTTTTCTTTCTGCAAAATCTAGTGATGGATGATTGACATGGCACAAATCCTCTACTCTTTCTGAGCATCTGTTTTGTAGATTTATTTTATACCAAATATTAATGGTTGAATTTTCTATCTTGATTGCATGACAAGTTTGCTTTTTAAGGCAGTAAAGGAGATCCAATAATGAAAGTCAATATAAGTTGATTATTTTTTAATTTTTAATTTTTTATTTTTTAATTTAGTTGGATCTACCGCCACTTGTACTAATTCTTTAGATCTTTGAAGTCTATAGCCATCATTATTGTTTCAAAGTTGTTGACATAGTGGTATTTTGGAGTGGTTAGATCACTTTTGATCCTGATAAAAAAAAAGATCACTTTTTGATGTTCTGTAGTACCTGCTCAAACCCCTTAATTAAAACTGATGAATCTTTCCTTTTGTGATACAATGTGTGTCTAATATTATGACCTTGTTTCTAAAGTTGAATGTCTTTGGTAAGCAAGTTGTTTTGCTGCCCATTTATATATTAATTGTTAAAAATAGGTGTTGAATTTGGTGATATCATTACCCAAACTAAATATTTGGATGTGGTTCTGTGGTTATTTGAGCATGCTAGTGATGTTTTTGGAACAAATTATTTCTCGGTTCATTTTTGCTGTTATATACATGTTCTCTGCCTCTATCTGTGTGATTTATTTTATATATATATGTGTGTGTGTGTGTGCGTGTGTGTGCATATGTGGAGGTATAGAGATATATGTGGCAGCTGTGTGAGTAACTACTTATAAATTTTTGATAACTACTTATAAATTTTTGTTTTAACTTTGGACATGGTTGGTGATTAGAAAGGATGTAGTTTTGTTGTTCAATGAATGGCAAATCTGTGAAGTGTATGTACTGTATTTGAGGAGGATGTGTATGTACTGTTTTCTTTATCAGTATTCAATAGCCAACAAAAGTATTTATGCCTCATTCCCTTAATTTGTGCAATTTTGCTGCCTCAGTTTATTCATTTGATGTTATTTTTATAAAGGTCAAAATTGTCAGATGTTGACTCTCAAGTACCGGTTAACTCTCAAGTACCATTTGAGAGCGAGGCCTCACAATAATCATCGCCACCTACCAACTCACTGTGTGGCACTTATGTGTTAGTTGCCATCTTTTTTGTTTTAATTGTTAACATTTTTTACATCTTATTATTAGTATTTATTTTTTATTTTTTTTTTCCTTTTGTTATTTAACAGGAATTCAAGTTGAAGGAGACGATGAAAGTTGTGGTTATAACAGATTTTTGGGAAAACAATGTTGTTTTATTGTTATAAAAGTATGTTTTTGTGGATGTTGCAAATGGTTATGCTACAGTTTGCTGTTATGTTATTGTGGATATGAAGGATGGATCTTAGGAAATTATGCTTAGGGAATTATTTTGTAAGTTTATGGGAATAGGTTGTTTTTATGGAAAAGACTTAATTTTAGTGAATGGTATTATATGAATTTGTTTCCTTCATGCCAAAGCAAATCGAAGCTGCATTCCTTACAAACTTGCATAAGAATACATTCATTCATCAACCTGCACAAGGCAAATACAAGATGCATTCATTACAAACTTGCATAAGATTACATTCATTCATCAACCTGCACAATATTACATTCATTTGTAAACTTCCAAACTGTTACATTCATTCTAAGGCAAGGACAATAAGTTTCCCATATCCACTGCCTTGTACAGTTGGAATAGAATCTAGGAAAATACAGCAAAAAATTTCAAGCTTCAACAAAAAGAAAAAGAAAAAAAGAGGGGTCGGGGATTTTTCAGGGTTGGGGAAATCCGATCCCCGTTAGGGAGCGGACGGGAATTGGGGGCGGGGTTGGGAAATTTTATGACTCCAGGGATCGGAAACGGGAAGTGTAATCCCTGATCTTGTCCTATATCATCCCGTTGCCATTCCTATTCATCAATAACTCTACCAAAGCATAAGCATTTATTATAATATGTAAAATATGCATCTCTAGTAGAAGTGATGTGACCCTACACGTAAAGGTTTTGGGTTCGTTTTAAAATAACTTTTTTTAATTTGATTTTTAGAATTTTTTTGGCTAATTTAGGAGTGTTTTGAGAATTTTTTTTGGACTTATTTTTGTCTTTAATAAATTTTTTTTTAAAATTTAAATTTCTAGATTCATCTCGATTAGACGAACAAAAAAATTGAAAATTCAGAAAAGACAAAAATAAGTCATAATAAATACTCAATTTTTTTTGCTTATTTTTGTCTTTTAGTGATTTGTTTTTGGAATTTTTCAAAAAAAAAAAAAAAAAACCTTGATAGATTTGCCTCGACAAGATAGACTGGAAAAGTAAAAGATTTTGACATAATTTTGAAAAAAAAAAAATCACTAAAGGCAAAAAATTTCAAAAAAAAAAAAAAAAGAGGTGACTTTTTTTTGGCCAAAATGGGCCTTGGGCTGGCTAAATTAGCTTTGTTTGGAAAGAATTTTTTGATTTTTTTTTTGTGAGGGAAAAAGTTGGGGGATTCTATTTACACCAAAAAAATCATAAAGTACTCCCATTTTAAGTACACCCTATTTAATTATTTAAAATTTAATTTACTCTCATTACGCCTTATTATTTTTCCCAAATTATCCTCAAGATAAACCCAAATAATAAATAATAAACAAACTAAAAAAATTAAATTATTTCAAAAACTTTTAAATTACTAATTCTCAAATACAGAAAATATTAACAAAAGCATTCGCATCAAATTGGGTCTTTATGGCATGAGCATGAATTTGTTCCCCTCTTGAAAGCAAGGAATTTGAAAAACACATCTTTATGGCATGAGCATGAATTTGTTCCCCTCTTGAAAGCAAGGAATTTGAAAAACACATCCTAAGAAGACTGCCCAATGTGAACTAACGCGGCTTCTATACCTCATACTGCATTTGCCAAAACAAATAGAAAGTAAAATAAAATACAGAAAATATTTATTTGCCCAATGTGAACTGAATCGGTTTTTAAATTATTAATTCTTGTTTTCATACTTGTAGCAGCTTATTTTTAATTTATTTTAAATTGATATATATATTTTTTAAAACTAATATTTGTGAAAGAACACTAAAATGGTGTATTTATTTGTATTATTTGATTTTGTTCAAATTTTCTTCTAAGGTTTAGGGTTTAAAATAATAAAAAAAACAATGATGTTGATGATGATGGTGAGTTTTGATAGGGTGGATTAGAGTTTTGGAGGGAAGAAGAAGAAGAAGAAGAAATAACTTTAATCTTTTGGGAAAGAAGATATAAAGATTTGAATAAGAATAAATGATACCATTAGGAAAAAAATATATATTTTAGGGTTTAATATGTGTTGCCCTTATTAGTAAATTCATATTAGGATATAATAAGAATTAAAATTTATAAATTTAAATTGAGCGTATTGAGACATATTTTAGATTCAAATAGAATTTTCCTAAAAAGTAAAATGATTATGGTTTGAATGTGACATTGTGTTATTGCTTTGTTTAGCCTATTTTGTCTTTTTATGCTTTTTTTTAATTCCAAACCCAAACGGTAGCTTTAACTACTTCAGTCGGTCGGACTTCAATTGGGTGCTACGCTTTGAATCCGATGACTGAACCAAAATTATTATTTTTGGCTGTTGCACACCTGTTTCCAACCTGAGTAACACAAATAACTCGACCTTATATGTCGGGTTGGTTCGGGCTAGCGGGGTTGAAAGAATATATGAATGGCCCAAAAAACAAAATTGTCTACAACCTTGTGTTTATATTGATAGATCGGACTAATAAAAAATTGATGAAAGTTTTCTATTAAAATGGGTGATGGTATGGTCATGAGTCTTGAGATGGAGGGTGTTGGAAGTGTTTTGAGAGAGAGACAGACAGAGAGAGAGAGAGAGGGGGATAGATAAAGTTTTGTCAAACTTAAAAAATCATATGTGAATGTGTTTATATACATGTCATATTATATATAGAATGTGATTATGCATTGTGGGGACATATTTTGTGAATAACAACATGTGGCTAAGATGACGTTGAAGTGTCAGTCGAGGTGCCATGTGGCCTAGTCATGCGTCGAGATGATCTCGGCTAGGCCGAGGTTGTCTGCGGAGATACCGGAATCCGAGATAAGCAAATAAGGGACAAGAGTCCTAGAACGGAGGAGGATCTCAGTCTGGATATAGATAAGGTTCAAGAAGAGTTTATCTCTATCTAGATGAGGGTCCAGGATAAACATGGAGCCTGAGTCCATTGAAGTGAGGCTTCTAATGAGATCAGGTCACTGCTGGTTATAAAAGTAAGGCACCCTCGTGGGTCTCAAGGAGGTTCCTTTTTGTGAGTTTAAACACAATTTGTTATCTGTTAGAGATATTGATTACTGACTTGATCATCGGAGTGCCCCCGGGTGGACGAACCACAACCGGATTCTCATCTTCTTATACATGTTGTTAGGCTTAATCTATTTTGTCGGTGCTTTCTAGCTGAGTTCCCCTTTTGGTTGTGTGGTTGGAAATCAACACCCACAATTTGGCACCATCTGTGGGAACATAAGGAGAATAGATGGCCGACGACGGACAGGAAGAAAAGATTGGGGATGGCATTAACAGTGAGAGTTGCAAACATGTAGATCCTAGCGTCGGGAAAGAAAACTGTAATGAAGGAGCACAAGATCCGAATCCTGGGGAGAAGGACGTTAGCAAAGAGAGGGATGCCCTGAAGAAAGTAGACCGAGATGAGTATTACAACGAAAATGACCTCCATGTATGGAATGATAGATGCTTAAGGAGGGACAGTGAGATGAAAGGAATGGCGAACAAGTTGGCAGACCTACAATCGTTTGTCAACTTCATGATGTAGAACAACGTGATTCAACCACCATTCCCATTGCAGGACACACCGGTACCAGCGGCCATGACTGTCGCCCAGAAAGAGGGGGCGGAAAACAATCCCAGTAGTCCCACAGCATGGCAAGGAAAATGAGCGCTCACATCGGCCTTCACGAGATGTCAAGCGAGCAGAGTTGGTGAGAGGTGAGTCACAGAGGACACCGCGAATCAAGGAAACCTATGCCAAAGAACCTCGGCATATCCAGGTAAAAGGACTTTGCTTTGATGCAGTGAATGAAGAGAAGTCCAAGAGGACGCACAATGATACCGAGAGCAGTGCGCCAAAAAGGCTGAAATTTGTTGATAGTTGAGCTCCCAGCCGAACGAAGGAGGATCTGAGGGACTACCTCCAGAGGAAGCGACTCCACACGCAGGTAACATCCTCCATCAAGCTGAGAACGACGTTCTCAGTAGAGTTGGATAGATTTGAGGCCCCAAAGAGATTCCATATGTCGAGGTTCCAGGTTTATGACGGTAAGTCTGATCTGAACTTTTATGTCGGCTTATATTTAAATTCAATGGCTTTGTATAGCGGGAATGAGCTGTTGCTGTGCAAGATGTTCCTTTCATCCTTTGGGGAAATCGCATAGGATTGGTTCAACAAGTTGCTGAAAGGAACTGTGAAGAGTTGGGAAGGCCTGACAGAGATGTTTGTAGCGAGGTTTGTAACAAATAAGTTGCAGCCATTAAGGGTAGACTCCCTGCTGGCTTTGAACATTAGTGAGGATGAAAGCCTCAGGGCTTATGCCAAACAGTATTATGAGGTGTTCAACAGAATACCGGCATGCAACCAGGAGTTGGCGGTCGTATCTTTCAAAAACGGCCTGGAGGATGAATGCTTGCTTCGAAAGTCACTTGCAAAAACTCTACCAAAGAGTATGGAGGAGCTCATGGCACGAATTGAGAAATATGCTAGAGCAGAGGAAGACACACATGGATCAAAGGCACCAAAGCAGGCGAAGAGAAACGGCTAGCCGAAGCAAGGCCGAGGTAACACTGGTTTCAACAGGCAGGAAACAGGGTTGAGGGTTGTACAGACAGTCACTACTGTATTCAGAATCTCGGTCTACAAAGTTCTGGAAAGGATCAAGAACCAACTGTATTACAGAACACCAGAGAAGATCCCTGATGAGTTTATGGGAAGAAGCCTTGGGAAGCATTGTGCTTACCATAATGAGGATGGGCACTTGACTCAAGGATGCAGGGCTCTAAAAACACACTTGGAGGATCTGGTCAAACTGGGTATCATGACCCAAACCCGCCCCTATAGGTTTAGCATCATAACCGGCCAGTAATCTTAGGATTACTGAAGGCCTCTGAGACAAATTAACATAATATTAGGGGCTAGCGGAAGCAAATAACAAAAATACAACGTCCATTGAGCTGTGCAGACTTACATGAGATAGAGAAATTTGAAACTTTTTATATACATATCTACACGTCATCCTTGCGTCATCATATATATATAAACTAAGCAAAAATGGACTTGGCCCTATTTACAAAATAAACAAAAACTGGTTCAACCAAACAAGAAAACAAACTTAAACTTTAATCACATAGCCAAAACCACTTGACATATCCGGAATCTCCACGGGAGGCACATAGGTTGG